CCCTTGTCGTGTGTGTGTGTGTGTGTGTGTGTGTGTGTGTGTGTGTGTGTGTGTGTGTGTGTGACAGCTTCAGGAAGACTGCTCTGGAGCCGCCAGGGTGCCCAGAGGACTTAATTTCATGAGTTTCCTTCAGTTTCACTCCTTGCTTTCTGAGGATCTTGGAAAGTCTTTGGGATGAGGCATTTCTTAAGAAACCACCACCAGCAGCCAGAATAAAAATCAAATGCAAACAAGGAAGGCAGCGTTGTTGGTGACAGTCAGGCTGGGACATTGTGTTTACAGAAGTCGCTGCTGGGTGGGAACTCAGAGGTGTGAGTCACTGTCCTCTGCTAGAGCTTCTCAAGATCAGCAGAGCCTCATTGATTATGCTGAACTTAGTAACTTTAGAAGGGAGGACTTAGCCCCTGTCTCAACCATGTTCACCATATGAAGGCCCCAGGATCTGGCTTTCTTATTTTTTTTTTCCTAGTTTTCCTTACTCCCATCCTAAACTCCAACCATTTCTAACTTCTGTAGGTTCCTAGCTCACAACCTGCCATTCTTACCTCCCATGTCTTGAGCGTTTATTCATTTGCCTCTTATTAGAGTTCCTTTGGTTGAAAGTGACAAAAGTTCAATTTAAATTGGTTTAATTAAAAAGTAGTGTCTAGTGGGCAGGGGAGATGGTTCAGTGGGCGAAGCGCTTGCGGCACAAGGGTGGGAACCTGCATCTGGAACCATAGCACCTGCATCTGGAACATAGCACCTGCATCTGGAACATAGCACCTGCACCTGGAACCATAGCACCTGCACCTGGAACCATAGCACCTGCATAAGAAGCCAGGTGTTTCGGTGTGCATCTTTAACCCTAGCATTTTAGGGGCGGGGACAGATGGCTCCTCGGCAAGTCAGTGAGAGACTCTGTTTAAAGAACAAGCAAGCAAGCAAACACCTAAAACCAAATGAATAAAAAACAGCAAATGGTGGAGAGCAGCCAAGGAGGATACTGAGCCATGGCCTCTCGCTGCAGCAGGCACGTATGTCCCTTCATGCCTCAGCCCACATACACCACATATACACACACTACACACATACACACAAATAATTACAAAAACCCCACATACACCACATATACACACACTACACACATACAGATACACACAAATAATTACAAAAATCCCACATACACGACATATACACATACTACACACATACACTTATACACAAATAATTACAAAAATGGTACAATTATTATTTCCGGGGGTACAAGGGTAAAGGCTCTAGTAATGCAAGCAACTCATCTGAGTCTGCTTAGGGAGTATTAGGGAAATTTATTAGGATAAATTGAGGAATACACTCACAAATACAGAACCAAGCAGACAGCTGAAATTGTCCTCTGATCTGACTGGGAGCGAGCAAATCCACCTCTGTTTGGTCAAACCAGAAAACAGGAAACAGGGAGGAGGGGCCTCGTGACCCCTCTCCCTTTCCTTTTAAGAAGTCACATACAATGGCAAGAAGCACTGCCTCCTTTGGGCCGTATAGCTCAAGGTCATGGACGAAGCAAATACCAGGTTGGGGGCCAGATAACGCGAGACTCTAGCTTTGCTTTCAGGAACAGTTGATTCGGGGGTTCATGTGCTGTTATTAGCACTTACTTTCTTTCTGTCTCCCTACAGATTGTCTACGCTAGGCTCTATTCTATGTGTGGTCACTGTAGATGTCCTAGACTCCTAGTCTACTTGCTCAGTGGCCCTAGTGGGATGAAATTTCCATGGAGAGTTAGGGATTGGGAGGTCCTCCTTACAGTAGCTTTGGGTATGTACCCATGGATGAGGCCATCTCAGTACCAGGGAGGTGTTGCACTGGCCGGTCTTGGTTAGGGGATCACCTTGGTACAGGGGATGGAGGTGACTTAGACAAAGGTGGAGGAGAGAGGCACAGATCATGGTTTTGTTACACTCTTCAAGTCACTGGAAAGCCTCAGGCCATCTAGATTTTTCTACGTTTTTCTTTTTTTCTTCTAGTTTTGCCTTTTACAATAGGTCTGTGATCGACTCTGAGCTACTTTTTTTTTTTTTTTTTTTTGGTCTTTCGAGACAGGGTTTCTCTGTGTAGCTTTGCACTTTTCCTGGAGCTCACTTGATAGCCCAGGCTGGCCTCGAACTCACAGAGATCTGCCTGGCTCTGCCTCCCAAGTGCTGGGATTAAAGGCGTGCGCCACCACCACCCGGCTCTGAGTTACTTTTGTGGTGGTTGTAAATCTGTGTAATAACTCAGCTCTTTGGGCACATGGATACCCAGCATTCTCTCAGTACTCTTTGCCAGAAAGTTGAGTCTACCTTTCTTTACCACACTGATTTTCCTCCTTTGTCAGAGAGTAGTTAATTTTTTATTTACTAATTTTTTTCAGACAGGGTCTTGCTATGAAGCTTACGATGTAGTTCAAGATGGCCTTGAACTTGCAATATTGCAATTTCTTACTTCTGCCTCCTGAGTGCTAGGGTTCCAAGTGTGTGCCATCATGCCTGACAATCAGTTGGCTTATTTATGTGGTCCTAGTTCTGAGTTCTTTATCTATTTCATTGACATTTTTTGCCTACTCTTTTCTCAGTAATATACAGTTTTGATTATTATAACTTTATAATAATTTTCTTAAAATTTGATTGACACATGAATTTGTACACACTTAAAGGGTGTGTAATATATTTTTTAAAGACGGGTTCTTATGAAACCCAGGCAGGCCTCAAATTTGTTATGAAACTGTGGATGACCTTGAACTTCTGATTCTCCTGCCTCCACCTGTTGGCAGCTGGGATTGCAGTCCACCGGCATGCCCAATTTTAGTGTGCTGGGGATGGAACCCAGGGTTTTATTCATGGTAGGCAAGTACTCTGCCAGCTGAGCTACATCCTTAACCCTTACTGTTGCATGATGTTTTGGTGGTTGTATATATTATATGTTCAAATTGGGATGAACTTACCTATTTCCTCAAATACCGATCACTTCTTTGTGGTGAAAACATTAACATCCTTTCTTCCAGAGCTTAGGGTGTGTCTTAGTGGCTGAGTGCTTGCTGCATGTGTGAAGCTGCAATATTCAGCTTGAGAAAGAAAACGATCCTTTCCTTTTCTTGAACCATATAATCTGTATAGTCTCTCTATAAAAAAGCAGTAGAACTTACTTCTCTATCTAACTGTAACTTAGTGCCTACTGGCTGGCCCATCCAGCTTCTTGCTCTTACTCTCTCTTGCTCCTGGTACCCATGATTCTACTTTTTTTTTTTTTTCAAATTTTTAGAAGTTATTTATAGAAAATAATAGTATGTAGAATGTACATAATAATTGTTTTCAATACTGTGTATCACACACCAGTCACTTTGCATGAACCAACATTAAGCTACATCCTTGAAAACTATTTCTTTTTTTTCTTTATTAAGAAATTTTCTACTCACTCTACATGCTATCCACAGACCCCCCTTCCCTCCCCCCACCCCCCAGCCCTCTTTCCCAAGCCACCCCGCATCCCCACATCCCCCAAATCGAGGTCTCCCATGGGGAGTCAGCAAAGTCCAGCACATTGAGCCTAGGCAGGTCAAAGCCCTTTCCCAATGCACCAAGGCTGTGCAAGGTGTCACACCACAGGCACTGGATTCCCAGAAGCCTGGCAATGCACAGGGACAGATCCCGATCCCCCTGCCTCAAACAGATGGAGCCCAAACAACCATCTTCCATGTCCAGAGGGCCTAGTCCAGTCCCATGGGGGCTCCACAGCCACCAGTCCACAGTTCATGGGCTTCCACTAGTGTGGCCAGTCATCTCTGCACGTCCTCCCATCAAGATCTCGACGTCCCTCTCCTACAGTATCTCTCCTCTCTCTCATCAACTGGATTCCCGGAACTCAGCCTGGTGCCTGGCCGTGGATCTCTGTATCTGCCTCCATCAGTCACTGGACAAAGGCTCTATGATGGCAGCTAGGTTATTTGCTAGGCTGGTCACCAGAGTAGACCGGTCCAGGCACCCTCTGGACCACTGCCAGCAGACCAAGGTGGGGTCATCCTTGTGGATTCCTGAGAATTCCTCCCCAGCACTCTGCCTCTTTCTATTCCCATGATGTCCTCATCTATCATGGTATCTTCCTCCCTGCCCTCCCACTCTGTCCCTGTTCCAGCTTGATCCTCCTATTTCCCTATGTTCTCATCCCCTACTCCTTGCCCTCTGTCACCCCTCCCCCACACCCAGTCCACTCAAGTAGATCTCATCCTCTTTTCCTTCACAGGGTCACCCATGATTCTACTTTAAGTATAGTAAACCTTAATGTCAGGTGGTGCCAATTTTCCATTTCTTTTTTTTCAACATTGTGTTGGCTGTTCTAGGACCTTTTGCTTCTCTGATAATCATGTTGTCAGAATCCACGAGGTTCTTTAGTGTGTTTTTGACTGAGATTGCATTGGTTCTGCTGCTAAAGTTAGAAAATTGACATCTTCACAACACTGAGTCTTCTTATCCATGAAAATAGAATACCTCTTAATTTCTGTCTGCCTGCCTGCCTGCCTATCTGTCTGTCTGTCTGTCTGTCTCTCTCTCTCTCTCTCTCTCTCTCTGTGTGTGTGTGTGTGTGTGTGT